CGGAGAAGATGGAGAGTGATGAGGACTCGGATCGAGGCAGCGACCACAGCGGGCTCAAGAGAAAATCCCTGGCTATGAAAGTGAGTGTGTGGGCTGAGGTGGTTCCACCAGAGGGGATGGGAGGGTGTCCTGGTCAGGAGGACACTGGTACGGTCCTTGGGTTCAGCACTGAGCTGCAGCTTTCATCCACCATGCAGCATGTCACAGAGGCACAGACTGGTGGGGTTGGAAGGGTCCTCAGGAGATTATCCAGTCCAACCCCCCTGCCAAAGCAGGTTCACTACACCAGGTTGCACAGGAAAGTGTCCAAGCAGGTTTTGAACACCTCCAGAGATGGAGACTCCACAACCTCTCTGGGCAGCCTGTTCCAGTGCTCCATCACCCTCACAGTAAAGAAGTTTTTTTTTTTTTGAAGAAGTTTTTCCTTGAGTTTGTCTGGAACTTCTGGGGTCCCAGTTTGTGCCCATTGCCCCTTGTCCTGTCACTGGGCACCACTGACAAGAGCCCGGCCCCATCCATTGACCCCACATTTCAGATCTTTATAGACATTGATCAGATCCCCTCTCAAACCCAATATGGCAGGAGGTGGTGAAGAAACCAACTCCCTCTGGATTCTCCAGTGGGAAATGGAGTTCAGTGCATGTTGGAGGGGCTGTCAGGTGTCTCTCATTGTCTGTGAGATGGTGGGATGGCCAAGTCCTGGCGTAGTTTGCAGCCTGGAGAGGAACCAGAGCTGCAGATCTCTTCTAAGTGCAGTGACTGTTCTTGCAGGCTGGTCAAGAAGAGTTGGGCAAAGCCCTTTCCCAGCCAGCGTTGGTTTTCTGTTGTGGGTGGAGGGAGAATGGGGGCTTCTCTCACCTTGTTACTTCTCACACATCAGATGCCGGTGGCAAAACGGCCTCGGAAATCCTCCAGTGACCTGGATCAGGGCAGCCCCTCCCTGACAGAAGAGGAGAACTCAGAAACATCTTCTGAGTCAGAAAAAAACAGCGACCAGGTGAGATGAGAAGGTTTTGGGATGTGTTTGTATGGAGGTTGGCGGGGTGGCAGGGAAAGGGCTGTAGGAAAAGCATCTCCATCTGCGGGGCGATGGCTTGAGGGAACCTGAGTGGCTTCTGAAACCACCCTGAGGTTGTTCCCTGTTTCTTCTTGTCTGTGTTTTCCTCCAGGACTTCACTCCTGAGAAGAAGCCGGTGGCCAGGGCTCCCCGGAGGATGCCGGCAGCGGGGAGGAAGAAGAAGGTAAAAGACCCTTAATCTGGGGTGCAGCAGGGGGAAAACCAGAGAAGAGTCGGGGCGCTGTGCTGCTGGAGGGCGAGCAGGGGGGGGCAGGA